AATTTTTTGTTTAGAAAAAAAGGTAAAATATTACTATTCATGGGTACCAAGAGAAGTTTCTTAAACAATGCTTTCCCTATATACAAAATGTTATCCCTTAGGATAATAGTGTAAGGTTACCACCTATTTTCGATTCTACACAATTTATCTAAAACATCGCAATGTGGATATCAAATGAAAGGTCTTGTTGAGAACTTTGGTCAGAAAATATTTCCCATCAGGGTTGCCATGCTTCTATGTAATACAAACTTTTATTTTGTTGATTTCAATCAGCATTTTTTTATGTATACACAGTACATAAACGCTCAAGATATGTACCATTCATTTCAGCATTTTACGGAATAGGGTTGCCACCTAAATTTTAGAATAAGAAATTTACTTGATAGATATCGAAATCCAATTTTTTTTTTACTTCCAAAATATTTTTTTAAAGCTATCCATATCTTGAAAACTTTGAAAAGTTCGGTCAACCTGGTTCTTTAAAGTTAACGTTAAATTGGAAAACGCTTACTTAAACTTTATTGCAAGTATTTTATTTTTATAAAATTTTTCATATTAGGCTACGTCTGATCAACCGCGATGCGTTATGCTTGTGCAAACAAAAATCACTCGAGGCACACAAAAATAACGAACAAGTGGATACTACTAAATTTCTCATAAAGTTTTTGCAAACAATTTTCAAAAACAAAAATTTATTTTTCATATCTATATACTTATCGCAAATTAACATTCTCATGTGTCACTCGCCATTAGCCTCGCTCATTTTCCAATTATTCTTGCACAATTGCGCAACCAAGTAAACCCAAAATACACTTAGCGATAATATCAATTAAAATGCTGAATCAATAGAAGTGAACAACGAACCGACTGTGGCAAGTGACAACGAAGAAGAAATCGCAAATATTTATTTTTGAAAAAATAAAAAAATCTTAAAACTCAGCTCATGGCTCAACAGCCAAGATCGCCAAAATTGGTGGCGGCGGCTTTCCATTCCAAACCAAGCCATTAGCCATTCTATTTCGCTGCACACCACTGCGTCGTTCACAAGCGAGCAATCCACCGCCAATCGTTGGAAATACAGGCGTCAAATCAATTCAAACGGCAAGCGCGGTTCGCGGGCGCTCAAAAGGTGGACCAGCACCAAACCAATTGAACGCCAAGCGATTATTTACTAGTGAGCGCAAAATGTTAATATGTACTTGTGAATGTGTACATTAGGGCGGGTTGATTTTTTTTTTAAATCGTATAGCAAAAACGTAAACTAAAGAAATCGAATTTTCTGAATAAAATTGCTTAGTAAGGTAGTTCTTTTGCACTTTATATTTTTTCTACACTCAACATTTTTTTTTCATTAAAAAGAATATTCATCCAAGTAAAAAAGTTTGTATATAATTTTATATTTAATATTTTTGTAAGGAACATAGATACAAAAAATATCTTTCATAATTTAATAAAAAAGATTGCAAATGCAAAATAAAAAAAATTGCACTCTAAAAATTGTTTTCAGAATTTATAAAATAACCTTCTTTTGTTTCGATAAACAATTCTTATTTTATAATGCAAATAAAAACAAACTAAAAAAGTGTTTTCACTCTAACAATATTTCGGCAATTTTTCAGTAAATTGTTCGCAGGTTTCAATTAATTTCGTTAATGTTCCACTAGAAGTACGTGGTCCACTTGTAGTTGACATTTCCAAAACATTGAATAAATGCCGAAATGGAAGCTCATTGAAATGGAGCAAACAAACGAACCAGGTTTGATTTTAGACCCATGGTTTCTTCAGAGAATTTTCTTAGAATTTAATGTAGATTACGTTTTTGCTACACGATTTTAAATTTTTTTTTCATCCATACAAATCAACCCGCCCTAGTGTACATACATATGTACATATGAATGTACATATATACCAGCTAGCTAGTATTTGCCGTATTTGCTTTCCGCCGCAAAAAGCAAAAGTTTTGTAGCAAATGACGACAGTTAGCTTGAAGGTCAGCAGCTAAAGATTAATTTGGCCTTTTGTGTTTATGTTTCACTTTGGCGTTTGGCGTTTGGCGTTTGGCGTTCACAGTTTGTAGTTGCTAGCAAGCAGCTGCAGTTTCTACTATGCCACTTACTCCGGCTCAAACGCTCTGATTTTTAATATAAAAGTGCTTTAGAAAAATCTCATTAGTTTTTATTCGCACCGCAGAATGAGAAGTTAATGATTTGTTGAAGAATTTTGTAATTACGCTGGTCTATACAATTTTTTTTTTTTTTTGTTTATTATTAAATTATTCTCTTCATTTCTGGTACAATTACAAATTAATAATTTAATTAAGAAGTCTGATATGGCAGCTACTAACCTTGATTATTGATACCCTAATCAATGAAAACGAAATAAATTTAAATTACATCTATTCAGCTATCAATAGGCACGCTAATTTTTAGTTTACTTCCAGGGCTTTTATATAAAAATATGAGAATTTCAAAAGCAAATTGAATAATCAAGTTCGTAAACCTGTAGACACTGTTCACACACAAAAAATTCAAAAATTAATTGTTGTTGTTTTTGCTATTATATTTACATATACATATACTCATAAAAAAATAAGAAAAATTTAATATGAAAAATATAAAAAAATAAAATCGTCAAAACGTCCGGGTATGTATATTTTTGACGCTGACTATTTCTGGATCCACGTAGTATCACAATGGGCCCGGATTGGGCCTAAGTGTGCTGGCCCCTTTGGGCCTGGCAGCCACTTCTGCAGCCAACAAAAAAACTCTAAATAAATGAGAGGCATACCTGAAAATATGTAGAGTTGTCAGAGAAATATTACCTACCTACCGATTTCAACCCTTAGGCTTTCATTTTACATATTTTTAGGCACATTCTGTTATTCCTTCAGAGAAAAGCTACATGATCATGGCGTGGTAAGATTAAGATTAATTGCTTTTGTGAAGAGACCATCATTCGCTTACGATCTTTTGGTAAATTCAGAAAGTCCCACCAGTTAGTCAGTGCTCACAGTGATCTGGTCATTGACGAAATTGTTCCCAGGAAATCTGCACAGGGAGTGCTTAATGTATTCTACTTCTTCCCCATCTATACTTTAGCAGAGCTATCACGATTTGTACAGTTGTGCAGATTTGTACATTTCGGCAGAGTGGTGGTGGTTAGAAATAAATTATTTCAGCTCAATAACTCACTTTTCTAACAACACCACACTGTAACTGTGAAAATGTACAAATCTTTGATCCCTGCATTGTGACCAAAGTGGTAACGATAAGCTGCATAAGAATAGCACATCTGCTGATTGTAGCTACTCTGGGCCCGAATCACAGCATTCGTGTCCGAATGAAACTCGATTCGAATCGAATGAAATAAAATGACAACTGTTTTCTCACCAATACAATTTTATTTTAAGAAGCAAGCTCGCTACCGAATGCCGTAATCTCAAAATGAAATTTCGAATCGATGCCGTGATTCGGGTCCTGACTTCCTCTCAACTCGTGAGAGCACGTATCTCAGATGATATATGCTTATACTCGCTTCTGCAAGTCTTTCTTCAGGTCTCTTCCTCGCGCACTTGTCCGCCGCCTTCATACACGAAACAGCAATATGTCGCGAAGTCTGGGATGGATTGCTGATAACCTTCGAAATTCATGAACACATATAGGGCATCATGGAAAGAAAGTGAGCTTAAGCTCAGAGTAAATTTTTTCACTGATCAAGTGAGCTTAAGCTCATGAATCTATACTGAAAATCGAGTCAAAGGCCAATCTGTTCTGCACCTGAACGAAGGAAGTGAGGTTCTACCTGGTCATAGGGATCGATAGAGCAAGAATTCCATTATAAACCACACTATGCCGATGTGACCGTTCGATAGCCCCTTTCCTTGACCGACACAATAAAATCCGCAGCGGATGCAATTTCCTCAAACAGCTTCCAGGCTTCTCCTCGGAACGACAACTAAGACCCTGCTTGCCACTTACAAAGCTACAACCATAAAAAGTTAAACTAAAAATATTTCTATCAATACAAGATTTGGTAACTGCCTATGTTTAACCAAATAATGTAACAATAACCAAATAATCCGGTGAGAAAAATACATTTCGGTGACTTTTTTCCGGGTGCATCGGCCGATCTTAAGCAAATTAACTTAAATTAAATAATCGAGTTTTCAAAATAATTTCGAAGAATATTCTAACTTTGCATAATAAATTCAGAAGTTCATTAGCAGACAAATAATAAAAATTATTTAGAAATACATAAATACCAATCAGAGGAGGAAATCTAGCTATTCAAAAAATCCAGGTGGCAATTAATCAGCAACAAGGAATGTGGCAGCTTATGCTGCGAATTGTATTTTGTTTGTTTTTTTTTCTCCAATCAGCGGCACAGAAATGGGCGCGTCGGCGTCCAAGCACACCAGCGTAGTAAAAACACATTTGTGGCTGCTCAACCCTCAACAACACGCTGTTTGTTTTTCAATTTTTTGCATCACTGACAGCATAGAAATATATTTAATTTATGTGGCGAACATACTAAACGATTTTTTTCGACTTCTTTTTAACTTTTTTTTTTTGCCAAATTTATCGTCTATCGGCATGTTTGTTGGCATAAGTCAACTAAAAGCTTAAGCCTAGCCAAGCTTCGATTTGGTCAATAGTGTCACACAGACAGAATACCAATGCATAGTAAGCGAACATTTGGGTGGGGAGGGTGGGTTTAAGCGCGACAAAGCGATGACAAATCGAGTTAATTTTGTTGACCGTCACATAGTTTATAAAATAGAAACATTGCATGTGGTTTGCTTAAGTATTGATTTTATGTTTTGGTATTTAATTTGTGATTTGATTAACCTATTGCAAATGCAGTGCGCGCGAATAAGAAATCTTGGTGGTCGCAGGGGCTTGGAATGTATATAAGGATATATGCTTATTTTTGGTTTTTTTTTTATTCAAGTCCCCAGCATAATATTCACAATTCATGGCATTTACTTGATTTCAACTTACCGCAACTTGGAGGCATATTCTTTTTCTATCGTCAGACGATCTTGTATGAAACCGCAGTATTTTTCCAAAAATTCAATGCCTTTATTCGTATGTAACGATATATTTTCATATTGGTCCTGTAAAAAACAAAAAAAATAATAATTTATTAGTTTACATGTATGTAATAATAGCACAAAAAGTATAAAAAGTGTCTAAAATAATGTGAGATTGTAAGCACACTCCACGTCAAAATTATAAGCGCATCACATACTGACATGTTTGAACATATTTTTTTATTTTTTTTTTATTTTTTTTTTGACATAAATACAGTTTATTCTTTAGCAAAAACTGTGTAAATCGAAGTTTCAAACTTTTTGCAATATTTTAAAAAAATGTCAAACTTTCTTAAAAAAGTCAAGCTTTTAAATTAGATATACATATTATAAAGATTTAGAGTATGTAATAATAGCACAAAAAGTATAAAAAGTGTCTAAAACATCAGATTGTAAGCACACTCCACGTCAAAATTATAAGCGCATCACATACTGACAAGTTTGAACATATTTTTCTTATAATTATTCTAATTTTTTTTTTTTTAAATACAGTTTATTTTTTAGCAAAAACTGTGTAAATCAAAGTTTCAAACTTTTGCAATATTTTAAAAAATTTCAAACTTTCGTAAAAATGTGAAGCTTTTAAATTAAATATACATATTAAAAAGATTTAGAGTATGCCATTTTGTAGTCCATTGAATTTCTAAGTGCAAGGGTGATGTTGCTAGGGCTTACCGTGGCTATTTGGCAAAATTTTTTTTTTTTTTTGTGGTGTTTTGCATTTTCTTCCACACAAAGTATATTCGGCGATTTTTTATATGGAGGAATAAGCACAATACCTACAGCAAAAAACAAAAAGCCAAAAATCCACGGTAAGTCCTAGCCACTTCAAACTTGCACTTTGAAATTTAATGGGCTACAAAAGTCAAAAATTTGTATATAAAAAAAAATTTTAACTTGAATTTTTTACGAAAGTTTACTGAATTTTTGTTTTAATATTGCATAAAGTTCGAAACTGGCATTTATACGGGTTTTGTATTTTTATTAAAAAAAAAACTAAATAATAAATAAAATATTTTTTTCAAAAAGTGCGCATATAACTTTGACCCGCGGTGTATATGTATGTCCATATACACGTACTTTAAAAATACACAAGACGCTTAGAAGCGTACAAAATTCCTGAAATTACATTTTCCACAGCAAAACAAATTGATGGAACGCAATTTCTAATTTAATTGTTAAGATAACGAATTTAAAATACGATAAATAAAATTCAATTAGACATCAGTGTGAAAAACATTTTACGTTGGAGCGCTTGTGTATAGAATGTGTATTTATGTATGTATGTAAATTTGTATAGAGCTGAAAGTATTTGCCTTCAATATTTATAGCGCTGAAAAATTTTTGCTACAAACGCAATCACCTAAGAATATCGAACATTCGATCATCGTAGCTAGCAAAGACTTATGCAGAATACACAATTCATTGCGAAGATTCCATAAAGCCATTATGTAAAGCAAACAAAATGAATCATTTTAATTCACGGATTTCATTTTGGCCTAAAGCAGTGGTTGAATATTTAATTAAATTTTATTTATAGAGAGCGAATTGTTTTGCTTGAAGAAAATATGCATTCACATACATACTTATTATTATTATTATTATTATGCCGAATTTCCACTAGGCATTCAGATGACAAAAAATGTATGCCATTTAAAAAATACCTAGTGGAAACCGACATGATGACTACTTTTATGAACACAATGGCACGGATTTTCTTTTTAATGCCCATAATTGTCATTAAAAATTTTGTCATTTAATGTCTAGTGAGAACATTTTTAGTATCTATCTTGCAAAAACAAAAGTCTAATTTTGCGTTACTCTGAAAACTGGAGAACATTTTGAATTAATACCCGCCGCTTTTTTGCGAAATTTTAAAATGTACTATACATACATATGTATGTAGTTCAATAACAGTGTATGTAAACGCTAAAAAATATTGGCACTTGAAAATCTGTTTTAACGTAATTTCGAGTGTCTGGCCAATATAAAACAGAGCATATGGCCCAGAGTTGCTAGCCAATAAATAAAATTGGCAGTGAACTCATATTTAATAAATATGCCGAGAAGATCAATTTACACATACATGGACATATGTATGTATTTTACATACATACAGTTACTCCCAAAATTGAGCGTACGGCTCTTATGTTGTTAATATTCGCAATGTTTTACATGCTAAATATTTTTTGTTAATTTTGTATTAAAATATGGCTTAAATTTTAGCAAACTCCATTTAAATCCAAGAATGATACTGTGTACAAAAATTAAGAAAAATATGCAAAGTTTCAGCTAAATCGCGAACTTTTTAATACGAATTTCTAAAAAGAATTCAGGTATGCAGTTTCATAGCCCATTAAATTTTAGTATAATAATGTGAAAATTTCAACTCTAAAAAATTGCGTTGATTTTTGACAATTTTTTTGCTAACTGTCCTACGCATTTTTTTCCATGTAAAAATATTTCCGAATTTTTTTTATACGAAAAAAAAATTCGTAGGACAGCCAGCAGTCATTTGATTTCAGCCATTGCATTGCACTTCCAAAAAGCTAGTCATTTGCAATCCTTTGAGTATTTATTTTTTTGTTAAAAGTGGAATTTCTTATAACTACGAAACCTCCTAAAAATGCCACCTTCCTTCTATGTACATTAGGGTGCATCACTTTCCATAAAAAAAAAAAATCGGTTCTGCTTTTCATCGGAATTTTTTTTTCTATATTTTAAGATTTCCGCCAAAATATTTCGGAGAGATAGTAGGGATTTCAGTGAGCTGGACAGATTTGAAAATACCTCTAGTCTTTTATAGATAAGATTTTATAAGATAAGAAACTTAAAGGGTCGGCAAAAAATTATAAAAAAATTTATCAACGGAAACAAAATAATTTTACTCTTGGAGGTACAATTAAAATCAGTCCAGCCCACATAAATTCTTGCATTTTCCGGAAATATTTTGGTAACAGTTTTAAAATTTAATACATTTTTTAATTTCGGTGGAAAACTCAAAAGTTTTTGCGAGGCACCCTAGTGTACAATATGTTTGAAATAAGCAGAACTGAGGCAAGCAATAAGCAAAACTGAATGAGAAATATATACACCCAATTCTTACACAGGGTGAGTTATATGCTTACCAAAATCTGGTGTTTTTTTTTTTGTATCAAAGTATCTAGGTATCCGTTATGAAACGAACTTTTATAACGAGTGCTGTTTTAATGTAACTACCATACCATATAGAACTAATTTTTTCGTTTCTTGGGATATAGTCTTAATTAGATTTTGAGTGTAACGGGTGATTTTTTAAGAGCTTGATAACTTTTTTTTTAAAAAAAACGCATAAAATTTGCAAAATCTCATCGGTTCTTTATTTGAAACGTTAGATTGGTCCATGACATTTACTTTTTGAAGATAATTTCATTTAAATGTTGACCGCGGCTGCGTCTTAGGTGGTCCATTCGGAAAGTCCAATTTTGGGCAACTTTTTCGAGCATTTCGGCCGGAATAGCCCGAATTTCTTCGGAAATGTTGTCTTCCAAAGCTGGAATAGTTGCTGGCTTATTTCTGTAGACTTTAGACTTGACGTAGCCCCACAAAAAAATAGTCTAAAGGCGTCAAATCGCATGATCTTGGTGGCCAACTTACCGGTCCATTTCTTGAGATGAATTGTTCTCCGAAGTTTTCCCTCAAAATGGCCATAGAATCGCGAGCTGTGTGGCATGTAGCGCCATCTTGTTGAAACCACATGTCAACCAAGTTCAGTTCTTCCATTTTTGGCAACAAAAAGTTTGTTAGCATCGAACGATAGCGATCGCCATTCACCGTAACGTTGCGTCCAACAGCATCTTTGAAAAAATACGGTCCAATGATTCCACCAGCGTACAAACCACACCAAACAGTGCATTTTTCGGGATGCATGGGCAGTTCTTGAACGGCTTCTGGTTGCTCTTCACTCCAAATGCGGCAATTTTGCTTATTTACGAAGCCATTCAACCAGAAATGAGCCTCATCGCTGAACAAAATTTGTCGATAAAAAAGCGGATTTTCTGCCAACTTTTCTAGGGCCCATTCACTGAAAATTCGACGTTGTGGCAGATCGTTCGGCTTCAGTTCTTGCACGAGCTGTATTTTATACGGTTTTACACCAAGATCTTTGCGTAAAATCTTCCATGTGGTCGAATAACACAAACCCAATTGCTGCGAACGGCGACGAATCGACATTTCACGGTCTTCAGCAACACTCTCAGAAACAGACGCAATATTCTCTTCTGTACGCACTGTACGCATTCGTGTGGTTGGTTTAATGTCCAATAAAGTAAACTGAGTGCGAAACTTGGTCACAATCGCATTAATTGTTTGCTCACTTGGTCGATTATGTAGACCATAAATCGGACGTAAAGCGCGAAACACATTTCGAACCGAACACTGATTTTGGTAATAAAATTCAATGATTTGCAAGCGTTGCTCGTTAGTAAGTCTATTCATGATGAAATTTCAAAGCATACTGAGCATCTTTCTCTTTGACACCATGTCTGAAATCCCACGTGATCTGTCAAATACTAATGCATGAAAATCCTAACCTCAAAAAAATCACCCGTTAGTTATTTATTTTCTAAAAAAGTATTCTAAGGCGAAGGTTGCTAGAATTATTCAACCAAGACTGCAAAAATTACTAATTAGTCATGAATAACAGGAAAGACTAATAATTTTCCATTCTTTAGTCAAATATGTATTTATGTAATTCATTGGCTGCAGTTAAAAAGGGTTAATCAATGAATGTGACTGCTACGGTTTAAAGTCACGACGGCTGCGTTCTTTACCACCTCTGGTTAGAGTTGCCGTTTTTAAATCGATTAAATCGAAGATCGATTAATCGAGCCCTTCCGACTCGATTTTTTAGCTCCGATTCGATCCAAAAAAATCTAAAATCGACATTTGATTTTTTCTCAACATTGCATTAGGAAATCTAGAAAATTGTAATCAAATTTGAATTTGAGGCTAGCACAAAATATGAAAGGGGCTTGGATATTGC